AGAGGGATGGTGGGATGTGGGAGCGTGGCTTGAGGGGTATCGCTGTCGCAAGCAGGAGACCTGAGTTCAATTCCGGAGTAGAGAGAATTTTCATCCAATATCTCAGTTTTTCTACTGGAATCTTGTATCCTTCTCAGCCCAGGTTGACCCTGACAGGCAGGGTAAGAAGCCCGCCTCCTAAATGATGTAAACTGTGTCGATGGGTGCATAGAAACTCTTTCATAAAAAAGAAAATCGGTTTGGAGCTAGACGAACGAAAAGTCAGAGAGCATTTGTTTCGTTTGTTTGAGTTAACAGAAGTATATGTCGATGCAATAACAGTACATGTAATTGATCTGAGCAGAAAAAAAGCAAGACAGACATACAGGAACAACAGAGGAAGAGAACAGAAATAGGACTTATCAGTGACACCCTCAAACCACCTGACATGCAGATGCTTCTTGCAGGACAATAACAAAGAGACTGACAGCTGTAAGACAATTAAATACGTACAACTAGAGGCATGTTAAGGAAATGATACAAACTTTATTTTTGAGGCTGCTTATTATCTGTTTGTTTTTTTAGCAAACAAGGCTAAAAGTAAAAGGAAGAACATAAAAATAAACAGCTGGCGAAGCCAGGAACAAAAGTAAGCATAAACAACACCAAATTCTTAACTTAAAGCTGCAAACTATACGAAATACTGTAATGACAATGTACCTGGAGAAAAGAAACAACAGAAACTAATAATAGAGTTGCTATACATGTGTACACTCACGGCCTTACCTGCTCACAACAGACTTAATTTTAAAAACTTTTACAGGGGCAATTTTCCAGCTCATTTTTTTTATTCCATGTCACAAGTCCACCGAAGAGGAAGCCTTTTGACAACCACAAACAGACAGCAAGCAGGGAAATGACAGTTCAAAAAAGTCAAGCTATGCTTTTTAATTGAAGTTTATGAACAACCATTTTAAAAAATGTCTCTTTCCAATAAAAATTTGGATTTGGATATTAAATGAATGTAGTTTTTACATCATACTTCAGTAATTCCATGTATACATGTATATATATGTTTATTCATGTGCATTAAAATTACATAATTCCTTCCACTTTTTCATGTTGCATTGTCTTTACGGATGTTGTAGCTTTTTTTTTCTTTTTTTTTTTTTACTAAACCAAAGGTGTCAAACTCAAGGCCTGTGGTTCGCATCCGGCCTCAAGAACAATAATTATATTATCCAGCCTGACTAAGAGATAATTTTAGGTACGGTAGTTCATCCTGCGAATCTCCAGAACTAATACTAATAACACAGAACCTCACTCTAACTCTAAATATATAAATGGAATTATTAGCAAGAAAAAAGTGTCAAACATCCAGCTTTGTCAAATTGGCAATTAGTTTAAGAATGAAAATTAGTCAACTTGATTTGTTATTATTGTCTGTGAGTTTTGCCTGTTGTGATTCAGATCACTGCTCAATTAATGTTTATACAGTCTGGCCCGCAACTTTTACTTTTTAAGTGGCACTTTTACACCCCCCCCCCCCTCCCCCTTGAGCAATCGAGTTTGACACCTATGAACAAAACCATAAATTTTGTTTGTTGTAGAAGTCACAGAAAGAGAACAAAAATATCTACCACTGTAGAGAATGAGGAGAAAGAAAAATCCCACAATACTCTACCATTTTACTTTAAAAACAGAAAAAATAATCCCACCCACTACACAGCTGTCTAAGAAAAATTAATGAAGCAAGTTGGTAAACAAAAAAGTGCCAGATATTCCACCCTTTTAGACTGATTGAAACCTCTCTCAGACCAGCAAGCTATGACTCATATTTTGGCAACAATGAATACCAAGCAAGACAGGGAAGGAATACAGGAAAACACAAAGATTGTTACTGTATGAAGATGGGAGTTGCATTGGTTGGGAATGAGTTGGAAGCCATAAATAAATAACATGTGGTCACTTCGAAGATGGATTGAAACCACAGGAATTTTACGGAGATTGGTTTGGTAAATTTTCAAACAAATGATTTTTCTGTCCAGCCAGAATCGTTGATGTAACAGCTGGTTTATGAACTAATTGACACTTACTCCCATCTTTTACAATCCTCCTCCCCCACCCTCCATTCTTTCCTACACTTACTGAAACAAAAAATTTTTCCTTTAGACAACTTTCACTGTATCCACTATTCTGTGTACTTTTGTCCCCGAAACATGTGTTACCATAACTCATTATAACTTTTGGTACAAAACAGGTGAAAAACATGCATGACAATGATACAGTCTTCTGGAAATATCAAGCAGGTAATTGAGCTTTACCAAGCCTGACACTAAAGCGTATATGAGATTTGTTTCCACAAAGACTTTCCTATTGTAGTCATAAAAACAAAGGCAGACCATCAATACGCCTAAAATTTGGTTGACTTGCGGTCTTATACATGATGTATTACAACCTTAAAAGACTCGAAACTAATAAAAACCAGAACTATATGGGTGGAAACACAGGACAAGGGTCATTTTTTCGTTTTTGCTAGTACTTAGAGATATCATGCTATTCGTGGTTCTCATCACAGGACACTTTACAGGGGTCTGCATGTCTTGAATAACAACAAATTTCCCAGTTATAACAATGTTTGTCTGAATGAATGAGGTGAAGTCCATTATTATAAACTACTACCGGTAGTCTGGGTATAGTTAAGTGTACATATAAAAAAAATACCAGTAGTTGAATGACATTTTAAAAATCCCAAGGAAGTATATAAATATAGTACAGCTTTATCAAGACCTCAGCTAAGTGTAGGGCCTAGACCTAATTGGCTAATAACTACATAAACTCAGCTTTTCAGTCTGAGCCAAAGTGCTCAACATTTCTCTATCTCTCATTAATTATCCACTTCTGCTGGACTGCTTGGGTCTGCTTCAGTAAACTTCCAAGGACCAAACTTCTTGCATTATCTCTAAATAAAGTATTAAAACCATGGTAAGGGCAGCTTTTCAGAAACATGAACTTCGCACAGAGACCACATTTCACCTTTAAAGATGGCCATCATTACTGGTGGATTCCAACGTATCTTGATGATGAAAGCTCTATAAAATAAAACTGTTCACTCAAAATGCATTTACACCCCATCCCCCTCTCTGCTACGAATAAAGGGATATAAGCATAACTACTATATTTAAAAAAACTAAACAACCAAAGATACTTCCCATCTCTTCTGAAAAGAAATAAGAACGGACTGTGACTTAAACTTAAACAAAGAAACATGCAAAATGCACAACCTGTCAGACCAAGTAGAGTATGTAAAAATAAAAGCACACTTATCTAACAAATTACTTAAAACATCTTTTAAAAGAAAAACAAACAAACAATTTCTCTCGTATTTCAACCAAGCATTATTATAACATATACTTACACGTTAATGCAGACAGCAAAATTTCTACAAATATAGTTTTCTCCATTCACTCACATTCAAGATTATTTGAATACCAAAAAGTTACATTTATACCACTTACACACAAATAATCAAGCATTTTTTCAACACACCTTTTACTTTTAGAACATTGACACACCTTCAAGCAATATAAAACTTACATGCACAGTTCGAAATATTTTTCGAAATGAGATTCCAAAATTTATGCGTTCATTATCTCAGACATTAGCATCTGCTTTTCTCAAACATTCTTGCAGCAACATCAAATACTAGGAACATGAAACTACATCACCCAATGTACTTCAATTGCATAAGTAAGTTACACATAGCTACAAAACAATCTTTACAAGTCGTGAAGTCAGATGCAAGAGTATGAATATGTCCCAATAAAAAATTCATCCGTCTGACCCATAAACAAATCCTCAATAATTATTATCGGTCCTTTCAAGCTTCAAGAAAGTCAGTTTAAAATACCCAGTATCACTTAATCTGTTTTTAAAAAAATAAGTTAGAACCCTTACAGAGCGTACCAAATAAAATATGCACAAAATGCTGTTTAGAAAAATATGCCTTTCTGTTTTACCACTAACAGCTAAAGGTAAAGATCCAGGTAGTTAAATAACTTAAACACCAACTATCTCTAGACTTCTATTCAAGATAGATGGGTATTTTTTTTCCACCAAAATCAAAACAAGTGGACAAACAATAAAATGAAACCAAAAACTCTATATGTTCAAAAATTGAAGAGTGCCTGATTCTACCACATTGTGACACATATATTGAACATACATAAATGATATGTTTTGGAGAAAGTAAGCTTCTTGGAGACAGTAAGTTAGCAAAGGATTGACTCTAAAAAAATTACAAGAGTTTTAACACTTTCTTCAACATAATTAAATTAAGGGATCAGACAGAAGAGTGTATAAGTGTATGACGTAGATGCTGCATGGGTACCCATGTCAACAATCCATTGAAAGCAAAAACCTGTTTTAGTGAAGTGATCTTATCATTTTAATTTTACTTTGCAATGACGAAGCCGGTCAGATCATGAAGTGAGTAATCAAACCATTCCACAGACTGCAGTACATATTCTGAGAAACATCGAAAGAGAAAACAATTAAGCTTTTAAAATATGGTAACAAATTTTGGGTGTCCTTATCTTTACTGAATTTCTAAGGGTAATATATCTGCAATTCCAACAAAGTTTGAGCAGTTGTGGAAATACAGCTTTTCTTTAAACAAAACATATGGCCTTCTTTAAAGCTATGGAGGTAAAAATTTACAATGAAGTACAAAGTAACAAAACAAGTCTCTTGCTCAATGAATCAATAGCAAGTTGCCAAAACAACTGCATCTGATGCTTCAAAAAGTCAATGTTTAGCAATCCGTGAATCCCTGGTTCAAGGACCCTCTATACAACAAAACACTGACTTTAATCAACCACGCTTGCATGAGTGCTAGTATACTCTAGTAATGACAGATATCAAATCACTCAAAACAGCAAAACGTTTACACTCAAAAAGCATAGATATATTATCAGAGCCACTGCATTGTCAATCTAGAAAAATACTACCGGTACAGGTAGTTAGTCTGATACTCAGTATACTGAAAAAGCAACATTACATAATAAACACATTATATTTATTTGTGTTTTCCTACATTTTCAAACAGTCAAACCCTCTGATGAACAAAATGCTTCTCCAACCTAATTTCCCAGTACTCAGTAATATCACAACTACAAAATAATTCTGAACACATCACACTTCTCCTTATATTAAAAACTTACACCCACAAAATACCAGCACACTCTCCCACAAGTGCTTCGAAACTCTTTCAAAAAGTACTCTACACAACATCACCACAGAACAACCATCTTAGAACAAAGAGTCGAGTCAACTCATCGTAAACTTTCCCTGCATTTTGTATATTTATCTTAAGCAATCTTAGCTACATCTATGTGACACAAGAGGAAGACAAACAACAACAGTGTGAAAATATCACACAGAAAGAAGGAGACCTATCATCAAGGAAAGCAACGGACAAGAAAATTCAGAAAGACCTTATGAAGGAACACTTTCTGCAGTGAAGGGAGAATGCCTTGGTAAAAGGTGAGTCATAAGAAACCTGAAAAAACAGTGTAACAAGCACAGCAGACATTGTCTTTAAAGCAAATTTACAATAAGCAGACTCGACTGTTTGCACTGTCAGACAACACTAAGCACATCGCATCACTCAGACAACACCAAGATCATTGATCTTTTTTATCATCCAGTCTGACATCCCCCCTGTTGGTAGGTGGCGCCACAGATGAGTCCAGCTGGCTCTTCTCAAAGACAGACTTTGGCTCCGCAGCAAGAGACTGTAGGAAGATGACCAACCGGCAGGTGAGTAGTAGTGAAAAGACAATGGCCGGACTCATCTTGTCCAGGCCTTCGTCCAAAGCATAATGAGCGTAGATGTCGTTCAGCGTGATCAAAAGAAGGAATATATTAGCAGCTTCCTTAAGGGGTCCTGAAACAAAAAGGTAAAGTTTTGTTATGAGCACACTTAATATTTAATCTTAAAAGAAAGAAAATAAAAAGTACTTCATGTATCCCATTGAAGAATTCTGGTTACAGTTGATTGTTCGACAAGTTGAATACCACAAAAATTCCCTAGTCACACCCTATTCATACTATCAGACCTGTTAATATGTGCCATGACATTGTGGAATCAGGTGCTCCTCAAAATAATGACATCAAAATCAAAGAAGAATTTTTTGTTTTGAGCTCAACGCCATTTACATGTATGTCCAATTATGTTTTGTTGTTATCGATACAGCAACAGCTGGGTTCTTGTCCTTTTATCCACTGTCATGTTAAGATAAATACAGGTTTCATGCAGTTGCTATAACGTTCCATAAGTTGTGTTGTCAATGTTAGGTCTCGCAGAGAGAAGTGTAGCTGAGATGTCATATATATACGGATGTGCAGTGGAACTGGTGATGATCCACAGTCTCATGTGCATAATTACTCAAAGGATTCATTGTAGGAAGTTTTGGTTTGATTCTTTTTAAGTTGAAGTTGAGCATATATTCTGTTTGTAGGTTCTGAGGGTGGTTGATATTGTCATTTTGTTTGAAATTATACCAAAAATGTAAGTTATCCACAAACTGATGGGCACCTGATTTACCCGTGTTGAGACACACATTATTTTACAAAAATTACCTGTCCAGTCCTGACACTCAACACATACACCTTCATAACTTCTATAATTGCCATGATGAAATGACAAAAGTCATACTATCAAAGGTATTCAAGCTCACACACAAATGTGACACACAGGGATTAGAAGGAGTGTCAGCACAGAGAACCGGGAAGAAATATTATGTAACATATTATATGAAAGATATTATGTATTATTATTTTAAAAAATAAACACTTGTTAAGAACTAAACTCAATCAAAACAATTACCGTACTCAATGTACAATGACAAGCATCCTTTTCTTCTGTTTTGTATGAGATTTTGTGCAAGAAAGCTGTGCATGAGGTACACTGATACGGTAGTTTACATTATACAATGACATGAAATACAGAAAATGCACCTCAAATCAGGACCACAGCGGCACTGGATATCGAGATATACAGTAACTGCTACTTACAACATATAACAATACGTAAAAGCACACATTGCTAAAAAAACAAACAAAAAAAAAACAAAAAAACAAAAACAAAAGAGAATGTTTTCATCAAAAGCCAGTTTCTCACTACATGATAAGTACAAAAGTGTATAATTTGTACATAATTTAAAAAAGCAATCCCCATTTCTGAACTCAGGTTTTTCTGCAAAACCTACCCAAAACATATGACAATGCAAAATCTTAAAAAGGCCTAAAGATCTGTTTTCACAGCTGCTGTATTTGGCTCCAAAGACATGTGTACAACATATTTTCCCTAACTAAGAGTAACACCCTCACCCCAACTCCCTGGTGCTCAATAGCTTCAAGTGTGGGATATACTTTTTCGAAGTGGCTAGCCGTACTTAAGTACTGCTAGCCTGAGAGTCTAGCCTTACTTAAGTACGGCTAGACTGCCAGTCTAGCCGTACTTAGACCTAGGTTTGGCCCTATCGACTCAAACCTGTTAAGTACACAGGTCTCATTAGACCTAGATCTAGTAATTATTCAGGTTCAAATACATGCTGCGCAAGTCAGTAAGGCACCTTTTGGTTTTGTCTGAAATACAAATACTTTTAGGTATTGCAAACTAAAAATTTCATTTACAATTCAGCCATCAATATTAAGTAAGGCTAGCCTGACAGTCTAGCTGTCCTTAAGTACGGCTAGCCTGGCTGTCTACCCGTACTTAAAGTGAGGCTAGACTGCCAGTCTAGCCGTACTTATCTTAGGCCCTATTAACATTAGAAAACAGGAGGTTTAAAATACATGCACTGTCATTTGCATTAAGGCACCTGGTTTCGTCTCAAATACAAATACTTCAGGTACTGCAAACTAAAAATTTATATATTTACAATTCAGTAGGCCTATTTTTAAAAAATGGTCAGTCTAGCCATCATATTAAGAATAAGTACGGCTAGCCCAGCTGTCTAGCCGTACTTAAGTACAGCGTACGGCTAGCCTCTTCCATACTTTTTTATCGTCCTCATAGCTAAAATCCAGTGTACTTCACATAATATAAGCACAGAAAATAAGTTTTGAAAACAATAACGAAAACTTGATCAAACGCTAATATAATGAGTGCCAGCACATTACCTGGAAGGAAAGCTAAAAATGCTCCACAAATGACTTCAGTGGAGCCCACTGTTTTCCGGTACGTGTGAGGATTTGGTTTCCAGCCCGTCTGCTTTACAAGAGGGAAAACTTTGGAATTGCGAATGTATGTTTTCCTCTGCAAAAGAACAAATAAATAAGAAATAAAAGGACATGATGATATGTGTTTACAAGCTTATATCTAGAATTAACTGTTGAAGGCACTTATTGTAGCCTGAGGCAAAAGTCACTTTAAGAGCCAAAAAAACACAAAATTAAATACATTATTATATACATTGAGTTGTAGTACCATCATATAACTATGGAGAGTATCATACACAGGATACGGCTATGAGCTGATGATGAACAGTCCTGGTCACAGTTTAAAAACCCAGTTTTAACCAACACCATTTTAATCAATGCTTTTCAAATTGATCGAACGTGCTCATTCAAGACAAGTCATTCATCCACTAACATACAATTTTTTAACGATAGATCTAATTCATATATGTGAGTCATCGTGGGGAAATCAGGTGCTCGTCAAAATAATGAAAGTGAAGAAACTTACACTTTTCTGCTGGTTTGACAATTTTTATCGAAATTTTTGTTTTAAAAGCTCAACACCTTATATGTCCATTTAAGAACCTATTTCAGTGTAAATTATATTGAAAAAACTAATTTTACCTCTGAAACTAGGCGGCACCACCTCCTTCAATCGTAAATATCTCGACATGTAGGCCTAGCCTACTCAAGATAAATGGGTAATTCTTTCATTGAAAGCAAGGAAAATGAAAAAGCTTTAAAGTGATACCAATAATTCCACATGTACATGCCCAAAAAATTGACCAGCACCGGATTCCACAGCGCCACGACACATATAAAGATCTAAATCTAAATTTAGATCTACTTATTTTACATTAAAACAACTTCCACATGTATGCACTGATGAGTGGCACTGTTTTAGTTTTGCAGTTAAGAGTGACTAAGAAACTACAAGACTAGACCGCATGATGACTCTCAAGCCTGTTAGCTAGTCACTACTAGTGTACTAGATCTAGATATAGGATTTTAGTATTACATCCTTGCTAAGCTAACAATAAATGCATGGAGCCTGCAGCAGGGCTACATCAAGTATGCGAATGGAAATTGAAGCTATCACGAAAGCACTTGATTGGATGACCCAAGATCGCCCCCACACAACCCATGCTATTCTTATCACTGATTCCATGTATAGATCTACCCTCAGAAGGATTGAAAAAAGTTTCCTGAGAACAGAATGGATTCAAGCTATCGAAGCAACGCCTATACGATCGCTCACATGGATTTTCTGCCCTGGCCATGCAGGTGTTAGGGGAAATGAAAAAGCCGACAGACTGGCTGTTGAGGCCACCTCAGTTGACAATACGGTTCAACCAGATAGGGTCGAGATCCGGAAATGTCTCTCTCACCAGCTGATTGAGGAGGAAAATAGGGAGGCAGAGGTCAGTAATGCCGTGGAGAGGATGATGCTTTTGGGAATACAAAAAGGAAGCGGAAAATCTGGCATCCTTTCCCTTTGCAGGAAAGAACAGAAGAACGTTCAACCAGATGTGCACTGGCACTATCAATGGAAAGACCCTTGGCAACATTTTGGAGAGAGCAACGGAGCATCAATAGACATGTCCGGAGTGCAAGGATGTTGCTTCCTGAAACAGTGATGAACAATGAATAAAATACACAGTGGCTACGTTCACGGCACCTTGAACGTAGTCTGCAGGCTGGGTTCACGGCGCCGTGAAGGTAGTTGGCAGGCTACATTCACGGCGCCCTGACTGCAGTTTGCAGGCGCTGTTGAGGGCTACATTCACGGCACTCAAGCTTCGTTTAGACGGAGCATTCACTGCCGGTTTTAGTCAGTGACTACAGTGACGTATATTTAATATTTTGGCCAGCTTCAAATGTTCCATCCCATGAGATGAAGGAAAACGAAAAAGCCTGGGAACCGACGCAGAGAGAAATAAATGACGGGAATCATTCTTATCATAATAGCAAACACCCTCTCTCTCTCTCTCTTTCTGTCTGTCTCTCCCCTTTCTCTTTCCTTCTCTCTTTCTCCCCCCCCCCCCTCTCTATTTTCTCTGTCTCTGTCTTTCTGTCTGTCTCCCCCCCCCCTTCTCTCTCCCTCTCTCTCTCTCCCCTTCTCTCTCTCCCCCCCCCAACTTTTTTTTTTTTTGGCCCCCCCCCCCCCCTCTCTCTCTCTCTCTCTGTGTGTGTGTGTGTGTGCGTATTATGTCTTTGGCCCAGAACGAGATATTCATTCTTTCATTCAAGCTATTTGCAAAAGCGTATTTCATATCATGCATGCATATTTATACAGTAAAGAGATGTAAGGAAAGTTGATAGCATGGTTATCTTTTTTTTTATTTCTTGCAACTACAAGACGAGAACTGAAAACGAAAGCTCTCAATATTATCGCCAGGTCTCCATATCTGAGAAACTCATTATTGGTCAATGTTCCCTTTACTCAAATTTACTGTCTTATTTTGTTCTACACCAAAACTGCGCTTGTGTTTATATTTACAGACAGACAGACAGACAGACAGACAGACAGACAGACAGACAGACAGACAGACAGACAGACAGATTATAGATCAGTTCCTACTGTCCATTCATTCTTTTGTTTCAGCCTCATAACCGTCTCTTTCAATGACATTTGCTGATGCTGATGCTAGCGTCTAATCAACGAGATGAGAGTGCTGTTTCGGCACTACCCCAGTTTCAACAGTTATCGAGCTCAGAAAATGCTTTTTGAACACCTTTCCAAAATACTTTGATGCCCTAGCCTCAATTTCTCAAGATTACCACAGCCTACTGCAATGGCATCGACATTCTTCAGCACATCACACGACAGTTCGAACATTGATAGGCACTAGCGGTGTAGCTATAATGATGGAACATATCGTGAGAGTGATAATAGTGGAGAGGAAACTTTAGATGAGGATGAACTTGCTCCTCACCCCATTGCCAAAAAGAAAATTTCACCAAAGAAGAAAGATACAGAAGTAGGTGACAATGACAGATATGCGCTTTTTTACTCTGCCTTTGACAATCCATCATCAAATAAAATGCCAGCAAAATTTACAAGGAAGTGTTAAAGCTATGGAGGCTGAAACAATTTTCACAAAATCAGCGCAACACTGAGGTTTAGTATACAGCAGGCTGCTGTGTGACGAAGATGCCAAATCTCATCAGATGCTCAATTTTTTATGGCATTTTTATGACTTTGAAATTGTAAAAGATGACTACACACATCGCATTAGCAAAAGTATGTTCAATGCCCTTCAGAGCTTCCAAACACCAACAACGAAGAGCTGAACAGAAAACTCACGAAGATTGAAAAACAGAGCAGTTACAAATACCTCACAAAACCTGGACGCAACAGTTACTTGTGTTCGTTCTATTAGTTTTAATTTTGTTGTTGTTCAGGAGCTATTGGTTTCTTACCGAGCACAAACCTCTTTTGCACTTAGACCCTGTAAGATTTTGAACATCTGTCAGTGAGGAACAGAGGCCACGTAACTGCCATGGTTTTGGGTGGCTTGGGGTGGAATGAACAAAGCCGCTCTCGTGAGAATCACCGGATGTCTTGGTTTAGTGAACTACATCGCGCAAGTGCTGGAACGTCTTGTCTTACCCTTATTTTCGTCAAGGTGTTATTCAAGTAGTCATCCCCATGCGAAACACGGCATTTTCTCATAGGGCCAATGCCATTACAGAATTCTTAAAAAACCATATCAAGTCAACGTTCGAATAGTTAGCAGCAAACAGCCCCGATATGAATCCTACAGGTATGTGAAGTCCCATGAAACAGCGACTGAAGAAAAACGACTTTGACCCCAATTCAGACCCTTTGTTCGCAACTCTCTGTGACATTTGAAATGAAATGACAAATATGTCCAAAATTTAATAGAATTGATGCCCAAAGGTTTCGTGCACAACACAAAGCCAATGGTTCCTAAGCAAAATAACAATCAACACAATTAGTGTTGAGTCGAAGTTTTGTGTGGTAGTGGTATTTGTGATTGCTCTGTTTCGCGTTATGTTTGAAACTATCGTGACAAAATATCATTGGGCATGCAATATATCACCATTCGATCAATATTGATACTCTTCAATAAATGTGCAAAGACAATTTTACGTTTCTTTGATTTCGCACGATTTTGCCAAGCCTATTTTTTAAGGTCAATTTTGAGTAACAACATCTCGGGCATCTCTTAAAATAGATTAAATATTAATGTGTCAGATGATGAAGAATTTATTTTTAGCTTTAAATTGGTATGCTGCATGAGTGGGTAATGCAAGGCTTTAACACGATTACTGGGTGATTACATTTTCGCCACTGTATTTAAAATAACTACGTTTACAGTAAGTTTTGCGCGTCCAAACTTTAAGGGCTTTTTTCTCAAATTAGGCTCTTTCAGGGGGGGGGGGGGGGACGCAAAAATCTATCATTCAAAAAGTTGTTAAGATATCGTCATAAATTTCTGTATACTGATAGATGAAACATTATTCTAGTGTAATAAGTAGTGACGTCAAAAAAAAATCTTGAATAAATGATTTTATTATAAATTTAATCTGTTGTTGTGATCTGAGATTTTTGTGGTCAAAATATTCCCACATTTAGAACCTCGAATCTGAAAAAATGTTTCCTCCTACATCAAAAATGTCAAGTCCATCCTCTAAAACAGCCACAGAAGGCTGCAAAACCATTTTTGTAACATTTTAAAATCATTTATAACCTTATGATAGATTTTTTAGAAATGTGTGCATCTATTATCTATTTGTGGTGGCTGAATTTTGCTATTCAAAAGGCTTTTTAATAGCTGCATCGATCGACATGTGGTTTTCGCCAAAAGATTCTTTAAAATATTCTCGAGATGATGACGCCCTTCGTTTTTTCAATTTTGAGAGTTTTGCTGCAAAAAGCTAAATTTCTTTATTTCGCCGATCGCTTTTGAAGGCCGACACTTCTGTCTATGTAATTTTTAAAAATCCGCCAGGTTTGTTTATTTCAAGTCGTACTTCCGTTCGATACTATCGCAAGGCGCATTTTGTTTTGAGAGTATAGATCTTGACTTTCTATTATTTTTTTTTTCATCTTTCAAGATTTATTGCTCCATTCCAGTAGAGTGTAAATTTTAAGGTATTTTTTTACTTTCCCTCCCGTCTCACACTCAGCTACCAGTTGTCTATTTTCTACTAAATATTGATGCGCTGAACACGAATATCAACTTCATTTCCGTCGCAAATTAATGGTTTTTGAAGAAATATTTGATTGTTTTTAACCCAAATAGACATGCTTTGGACCAATCGGAGGGTTCCAGGGGGGCCTGCCCCACTGGGGTAAAAGAAAATCTGGGGGGTTACAGGGGGGCATGCCCCCCTGTTTTTACACCCATAATTTGATATTTTACAGTTAGATTTGAAATTGTCTTGAAAATAATTGATTTGCGACAGTTTTAGTGGCTTTATGTGTGATCTGCAGCAAACAGTACAGCAGTTTGACCCCTGAAACAGTGCATCTGTGTGCGGGAGTGAAAGTAAAAATTTACCAATTTTAATACAGAAGACCAATGACTTTCAGTTGATGTTAATGCACCGATCATTCCTTTCAACGAAAGGGGCCCAGCTAGTTTTATTTATGACATTCCAATATGGCAGGCGTTACCATAGAGCAACACAAAAGAATTTTCAAAATTTTATTTCATGACCTAATTCTCCACTCTATTTGATGCTACACATTGATGCTACCACATTTGCAAGCTTAGTTTCTTCTTCTTAACGAATTTCAAAATTTTCCCCGCATCATGCCTTTTAACTTAATTTAAACCGTCAGTGGACGCTCCATCTAAAGGAAGCTTGAGTGCCGTGAACGTAGCCCTCAACAGCGCCTGCTAACTGCATTCAAGGCGCCGTGAACATAGCCTGCCAACTACATTCACGGCGCCGTGAACCTAGCCTGCAGACTACGTTCACGGCGCTGAAGCCAAGCCAAAGCCAAAGCAAGCAAACCCAAGCTTACCATTTCTTTGTAGATCTCCCCATTGACGGAAGGCGTCAATTTTATTGTCCCAACAAAAATGAAAAACAGACCCAGCGTCAATCCTAGGACCTTTAAAACTACGGATGCCATTGCAAACAAATAACACTGCAAGGTTCTATACAGTGATCAGAGGAGAATTTTATTGTTTTCACAGTTTTCAGTCGTGGAGCTACTTGATTGCCCAAAAGAGTATGACTCTTCACGAATGGAAAGCAGTTTTCAATAACTTAGAATCCTAAATTTTAGAGTCATAGAACAATTGTAAAACTACAAATAGTATCCTCACAAAACTAATAATTTTATTTCTTATTAATTAATTTTTTTTCTTCAAACTGTCATAAACATTAAGAACAATTCCTATAGTAATTAATTGGAGTAAGAAGAGGTATAAAAAAACTTCTATTAAACCATTGTACTGCTAGCTAAACACAATAGCATAATATTCGTGCTTTAATTTTACTTTAAACAGCCTCTACTGTTCACAAACTACTGACTCCTCTTTCTCCTCCTCATCTCTCCTCCTTCTTTTATTTGTAATTACTGTCTAGTAACACTCCTAATCTTCGACACTTGTATAACATAATGTTGTTGCAAAGGCCCCAAAACTCTTACAAGTCTTACTAATACTTATAAATTACTGACGTTCATAGTTAAGTTAAAGTCAAAGAGATTAAAAGTAAAGTAGTTCTAAACTCCTTGGTTAAAGTGAAAGTAAAAAGTACGAACATGCCTGTTTCCGAAGGCTACTCGTTCCGGTGTAATACAATATTTTCTCACCTAGGCAAAATCCATCTCCACCCCCTTTCCTCCCCAAGATGCAAAACAAAACAACGCACATACCGAACCGTCGAGAAAGATATATATATCTATCTATCTATCTATCTATCTATCTATCTATCTATCTATCTATCTATCTATCTATCTATCTATCTATCTAGAGAGAGAGAGAGAGAGAGAGAAAGAGAGAGAGAGAGAGAGAGAGAGAGAGAGAGAGAGAGAGAGAGAGAGAGAGAGAGAGAGAGAGAGAGAGAGAGAGAGAGAGAGAGAAAGAGATTACATAGCCAACCACACAAGCCAGAAAAACCTGTAAGATTTCACTCTGTTAATTTATTAAAATAATTAGACCTATTATCATTTTATCTTCCAGCACAATGGGAGCTCTTTGCACAGTTGTGAAAAATAAGTGCCCCCACGGGGTACACGTCATATGCACACTGTGGTCATTGCAGCCTATCTATTACACTGTTTTTCCAATAATATACATGTAGTGGAGTTTATGGGGTTGAAACTGGGCTACACCTGACCTTACTTTACTTTACTTTTATCCGCCGCTTATACCATTTTGGGAGTCGCTGGAAGAAAGAGACGTTTCTCTGTTGCCAGCCAGAGAGCTTTGGTCAGGGGTATGCCGTGGGTGGTTAATGTTTCCCTGACTCCATCTATCCAGGTCTTTCTCGGTCGCCCTCTAGCCTTGTTGTTATCGATTTTTTAATGTAGGCACGTTGTGCAGGATGGTGTGCTGGTAATCGTAGGAGATGTCCGAACCATTTGATTCTTTGGTGTTGGATGTGATGCATGACATCATTTGTTGCCACAATTTCTCGGATTACAGAGTTTCTAATTTTGTCTCGCCTGGTCTTGTTTACTACTTTTCTAAGGCATCGCATTTCACATGTTGTAAGTGGGTGGTTGGCAGGTGATCTGGTGTGGTTTGCTTCTTCTTTCCTATCAAACATCTATCGTCCTTCTCTCCTTCTTCTTTTTTTAATGTTCGTTACTCTCTTGTAACACCTCTAATCTTCTGGCTCTCATATGACCTTATGCAGTTGCGAGCTCCATAAAACCTCTACTAAAACTAAACTAAAAACAAAACATGTTGTAATTCTTTGCTCAAAAGTCTTTGTTCGTGGTCCATGTTTGGCATTGATAGGTGAGTGTTGGGATGAATATGATGTTGATCATTTTGAGTTTTGTTGTCATGGGGATGTTAAGATGTTTCAGTAGTGGAGTAAGCTGGTAACTAACATTATTGGCCTTTTGTACTCGTGTTTCAATTTCTCTGTTCAGTCGCCCATCCTCTGTGAATATACTTCGAGGTACTTAAATTCTTGGACCTGTCTGAGACTGTTGTTGTTAATGTGTATCCTGAGTGGTTCTGGCTTTCTGCTTACTTTCATTGTCTCTGTTTTGTTGATGTTGATCTTCATGTCGTAGTTGTTACATTCTTCGTTTAATCTGATGGTGTGGTGTTGGAGACTTCGTTCATCTTTGTGTGCCAGGCTTTGGTCATCAGCAAAGAGTAATTCATTTAGGGCGTCTGGTTCTGTGTTGGCCTCTTTTGTAATTCTATCCATATATATGATAAATAATAGTGGTGATAGGACACAACCTTGTCTTACTCCGGATGTTATCTCGAACCATTCTGTGAGTCCCTCTGACGTCCTCACTGTACTTATGCAGTTCTCGTAAATGGCACGGATGTTATCTAGAAGTTGGCTTCTTACAGTGTAGTTTTCGGATTCTTTCCACGGCTTATTTCTGTTCACTCTGTCGAACGCCTTCTCCTGATCGATAAATACTATATTAAGACAGGTGGAGGGTTCAGGTTCAACCCCTTGGGGGTATGGTGTGGTTAGAGAATAGGTATAATTGCAGGTAGTACATTGTCATAGCTGCTCCTGAGCCCATCCTCTCCAAGGTCTAGAAAAGGGTTGGCTCGCTGATCGTGCCAGTCATCAGCTCACACACGTGCGCAATAAACAAACTTGCGGAAATACCCAATTGCATAGGCTACCTAAACCGAAGACAGTGCCGGAAGTATCCAGAAAAGATTAGATGATATACTAATAATGCTACATAATATTATGTACGGTGCATGTCTTTGACCAGATTTTGTCCGGATCATTCTTGTGGTGTTTTCTTAAATGCTCTGCAAGTCTGAAAGTTAAATAAAAAACATGTTTATGTAATGCAGGCTGGAATTTGTTTGGGGTTTTAGTCGTTAGGATTATTGATTCTGGCAATTCTAGCAGGTTGCCACCTTTAATTATTGCAGTTGAAAATCTGGTTTTATGTCATTGATGCTTGAAAATACCTATCAAGTACCGCAAAGAACCCTAAACATGAATACATTTACAAACGAATCTGCTATGATTTTATTTCTCACGTTTCATGTAATGTTGGCATTTCATTAGTCCCAAGATAGGTACTTATGTCGGCTACTTGAATGCGGTCACAGTCACAGTGGAAGGGAATGAATTAATTGATTCCAGGAACCGTCACACTGAATGTTGCGGTAAAAATGTGTCGAGTTAGAGATTATATAACCTTCCCAAGATGCTGGCGACCTGCGATAACATATTATTATACCTGGAGTTGGGTTTGGCTGTTCTTCTTGGTGAGTATACAATATGTGTGTGCATGCGTTTAACCATTGATTGGGCGCACCTTGCAATTAAAAAAAAAAATCAAGCCATTTCAACGTGCAGAAAAGTATTGCAGTTCTATCTAATCACTAATATGTAGATAGACTGAATTGATGTGTACATCACCCCAATATATTTTCAGTCAATGCTACACTCGTGTGACGTTCCAGAGTGGTTTTTCAGATTCTGTATGCCCCAGAACCGCAACCCTAACCAACCAACCAACCAACCAACCAACCAACCAACCAAACAACCAACCAACCAACAAAGTAACCAACCAACCAACCAACCAACCAACCTACCTACCAATTTCTACTATTTCATTAATTTCTCTCTCTTTGAGCCATTTCAAACACGAACTCAAGGGCTCCCTTCTGAAGGTCAGGGCGAGGGTACGATACCCCCCCCCCTTTCCCTTCTCTCTCTCTCTCTCTCTCTCTCTCTCTCTCTCTCTCTCTCTCTCTCTCTCTCTCTCTCTTTCTCTCTCTCTCACTCTCTCTTTCTCTCTCTCTCACTCTCTCTTTCTCTCTCTCTCTCTCTCTCTCTCTCTCTCTCTCTCTCTCTCTGTGTGTGTGTGTGTGTGTGTGTGTGTGTGTGTGTGTGTGTCTGGGTGCACCAAAGGCTTCTCTCTCAAATGCACGTATAAAAGTATATTACAAGAATATGTATAAAACGTAGCAAGGCATAGTAACAGCGCTCTTCCTCTGCTCGCTGATCCCCCCGCCCCCACTTCTTTTTTAATCAATGGAACGCGCCCGCTTAGTTTAGAACTCCGGCTTGAGCTTCATTGGTGTGACAGGCACTTTTAGTAATATCACAGGTAAAGAAAGCACTGCGGATTTATTCAAGATAATAATATTTTGATCTTTTCGATGGACAGCCAGGGGCGCAGAGTAATCGATTGTTAATGCATTGATAAAAAAAAGACGGATGTTTGCAGCTCAATTTAAAGTTGACTTTCTTTCTTTTTTTTAAATTTTTGATTAAGTTGTACTTTTGGGGTCATTTTTCCTTTCATCCCAGATCTGAAATCCCCAAAGACAACGTATCCGACAGGATATTTAACTACTGCTCATTTCATACATTCTTCTACACGATTAGCAGGAAGTCGAAGCAAAAGCATTGAGGGTACCGCTTCCAGTGCATGCGAGACGCAGACGACGATACGCCTACGAGGACACACATGAGTGGCCAGCTGACGGCTCAATGGATTATGACTTTGAAGAAAGTACAGGTCGCTTCTATCTATCTATCTATCTATCTATCTATCTATCTATCTATCAATCTATCTATCTATCTATCTATCTATCTATCTATCTATCTATCTATCTATCTATCTATCTAAATTGAAAAAGGGGTAGAGGAGGGGCTCTCGTGGTCTAAAAGTAAGGTGTTCGCCCCTCATTCTATAGGTCCCGGGTTCGAAATCTGACAGCGACAAAATTTTCTTCTCTAAAATGTTTTCCTTCCACCTCCTTTCATGCTGTCTTGCCATGTTCTTTCACCTGCTTTCATCAACACTTTCTGCCCTCCCCCTCTTCCCCGTCCTCTGGGCTCCTGGCTCTTTCTATTGCTACTCTTGGCTCCTTCTTACTGCGGTCTTTAAGCCACACCCTTGATCTTCTCGGGGTAGGTAAGATCGAATACCCAACCTTCTCGGATAAGGGCGAAAAAATCTCAGAGATCTCGCGTGGAAGTTGTGCACGTTAAAGATCCCTTAGTGGTCCTACAATCGATAATAATAGGCTTCGGCCGCCACCCGGGCAAAATTCAAAATTGATTCCTACCAAAAACTTAAAATGCTCAAAGTGAAAAACAAACAACTCGAGTCCCGCGCGCTCATTATGACCTTATGTAGTTAAGTTGCGAGCGCCGTAAAATTCTTACCGCAAAAACAAATAATAATTTTTAAAAAGCTGAAGAGATATAAATGCAAGTCAAGTAGTATATGTGAGGCATCGTGGTGAAATCAGGCGCTCGTCAAACAAATGAATCAAAGAAGTTGGCATTTTTCTGACCTTTTGGCAATTTTTTAAAATGTTATTTTTTTTGGCTCAACACCTTTTATACTACCATTAAAAAAAAACATTCTTGTGTGGATTTTGCTGAAAAACCTTGATTTAAAGGCACGCAAAAATGTCAGTTTTCAATTTCCAAGGACTCTCAAACTATGAAAATTACCTAACTTTGGCGGTCATTTTCTCGCTAATTTCACCTCTGAAACCTAGCGACCCGAACCTCCTTCAATCACAAATATTTCGACTTCCTATCAACAAAGATGGATACATGTATTGTTTTCACCAAAAGCAAGGCAAATGAACAGGCTTCAAGATGATACCAATAACCCCATATGCCCAAAAATTGACGAGCGCCTATCTCACCACGTCGCGAAACATATTATTATTGTGTCGGTAACGCAGCGTTTCATCATTAAATGTATGGATTGTCCATGTTTTTTACTTTGTGTATTTATTCACGAATTTATGTAATAATTTTAAATTGCATATATTGAAGGAATGCATGATTGCCATTGTGAAACAAATTAATTACCAAGGAGATTCGTTAGGTGGGATCTATTTTTTTAAATGTTTGCGTGTGTGTGTGTGTTTGCGTGTGTGTGTGTGTGTGTGTGTGTGTGTGTGTG